GGAAGTGGGAAGGGGTGGATAGGGGGTGGGGGCCAGGCTGTTTGGGGAGGCACAGCCTTTCCTACCCGGCCCTCCATACAGTTTTGCACCCCCGATGTGGCCCTCAGGCCAAAAAGTTTGCCCACCCCTGGGCTAGTGACTGGCAAAAGCAGCGTCTTCCCTTTTCCCGAGGCAGGTGGGGAGAATGGGCCCAGGGCCCAGAGGAGCCTGTGAAGGGGTGTTGGGGAGGGATGCACATTGTGGGGAGTCAGCCTGAGCGGCGTACTCCATTATCCAATAGCAGCCGCTCTCTGCGCTTGATTGGCTGGATTCAGCATTAGCCGACGCGCTGGCCATTTCCCATGAAGTGGGACCAGCTCTGTTCCACTTCAGAGACGTTCTGAGCAACAATCCTGTTGGAAGGTTGGTGGCCACTTCAATAGCCTGATCAGCCAGCAAGCTGCCTGCCCTCTGATCTGGGCTTGGGCTCTTCGCTGGCCTGCCGCTTCTCCCCCTGGCTTTGCTAATCCACCAGCTGAGCAGGTCCTGGCGCACGGGAATAGCACGTGCCCTGCTAGAACAAGCACTGGGGTATCAAACATACTGTACAACCGCTCTGCCAATGTGTGAAAGAACACAGCCATACCCCCTCAAGCACTCGGCTTCACAATGGTGGTGTCCTGATACCAGATCCTCACAGTGAGGGGCCCTGGCTTCTGCCTTTGCCTGGGGAGCTGGGGGAGAGAAGGAAATACTTTAAACAACTGCCTGCACCTCTCTATCCGTGCCTCCACGAAATAATGGGATTGGGCAAGGGAGTCCCAGCTCTTTGCAAGGCAATACCCGGGGACACACTCAAGGGTGAGAAGCCACCAGCAGCTCTCTGCAGAATCTAATGCTTCTGTATAAGGCTTGTCCTGGGAGCGAGGGTTTCACACAGCTTTAGTAATAAGTTAAAAAGAGGGGAAGCAGGATGGCTAGAGCACAGGGCTGGGAGTCCAGACCCAGGTCTCCTGACACATTGTGTGACCTGGTAGCAGGTGAGAGGAGCACTTTTGTGAAGCACTTTGAGCTGCGTGGACGGGAAAAGCTGTAATTAAACACAAACAAGAGGAGTTCTCACGGCCTGGCCCAGCCACGGCACATGCTGGAAACACCCAGTGAGAGAGTCCAAGGGCAATAAACAAAAGCTGGAGCAGGAGACTTTGACGGCTCCACTTACAGGCTATCTAGAGGATCAATGTGGAAAGTAGCAAGTGGTGTAAGTGTACCAGGCTGCATTCATTCCTGGAGTGACAATGGATTTACCCTAGGACACGTTTGGCCCAAGGTGTAGACAAGGGAAAGATGACAAGAGCCTGCTATGTGGGACAAGGCTGGAACTCCACTGAGCGGTCCTGAGGGCGCCATAATCCAAGTCACACAAGTTCCTGGGGGGTCAAGTCAATATGGATTTTCCTTCAGCAGCGAGTTTATTTCCGATACCAGAGAAAGCACAGGAGATTTGGGAAAGGAAACAAGTTACAATGGCAAAACAATGCCGCCATTGTCGAACGCCGCTGTAATCACAGCTCCTGCTAGGGCAGCAACACTGCAATTATCGTATCAGGGAAGACCGGCACTAACAGGATCCTCCAGAGTAAACACAATGCCCGCTGAAGTTCCCATGCTAATAACATCCCTGCATTGTTTCAAAGAGAGCGAGTGCCTGGGGGCTTTGCATGATGCTGTGTCTCAAGTTGCAGACTTTAGTCCTTTATCCGGTGCAGCTACTTTTCCTCAACCAAGCATTTCACACGTTTAGAACCTTGGGAGACAGGTAAGTTTTTACTCCCCCAAGCTACAGAGGAGGAAACCGGGGCAGGAGAAATGTAGGTCCTTGCCCACAGCCACAGAAGGACTTAGTGTCAGAAGGGAGATTAGAACTTCTGCTTTCCCACAACAGTGCTCCCTTATCACTTTGTCAAACAGATTCTCCACCCTCCCAGAAGAGCCCGGTTCCCCAGGAACAGCTTTTAAAGAGGGTACTTGTATTTCCTCTTCAGTCTAACACCAGAGGGCATGCAGTGGGGAGTGTGGGCGCAGCAGATAACCCACATTCACCAGGTGGCACCAGTTCCATCGCAGAAATTAAAGAGCAAAATCCCTCTGACCTACCACTCCTCCTGGGAATTCACACCCGGTCTCCGACCTGGGATCCACCGTGCCGATTTACATTGTGCTGCCAAGTCTCCGTATCAGCACTGCCAGCTCCAGGAGCCAAAGGGGCAGCAGAGCTGAGTAGAGTTTGGCTCATTGTATTACATAGGACTAGGACTAATGTCACGGAGAGGGTGTTAATACAATGGTATCCATCCCTGTGGTCACTCTTGCTGACTCAGATTTTTTAAGTCCAGGTCAACAAAGCACTTAAGCACACATGCTTCATTTTAATGAAAACCACCGTACTTCAGCACATCTCTCGTGCTCTGGGGTCTCAGTCAGCTCCAAACATTCAGTTGTTCTGACCCAGAAGGAACGACACTATAAACCAGGAGAATGAGGCTTGCAGCGTCCATGCACATCGGAACCCAAGATAAGCACCCAGCCTTGGGTAGTTTGGAGAGGTATGGGGAGAAAAAAAATCTCTGGTACCCGACAGGTGCTTTGCATCGCTAGAGTGGCACAAAGCAGACTGTGTTTCGTGTATGTAGAAAAAAAACCCAAACAAAAATCATAGGTTGCTCAAGTGCCCGGACACTTATTCTGTCAGACACAGGCCAGGAAATCACTGAGTTTGCCCTCTCCACATCCACCATCCAGCACACACTCCCCATGCCCTGTGTAATGCCCCTCCCTCCCCCTAGCTCCCTCCTCCCCGTTCACCCTCCTCACCCCGCTCTACATGTCTGCTCACCCAGCCTGAGCCGCCGCACGCGGTGCAGGGAGAACCAAAGGGAGGGATGTGGGAGGAAGAGGGTCTGAGCTGGGGAACCTTGATGGGAGGACGAGGGCCCTGCAGGCCGCCGGGGGGAATGGGAGCCCAGAGTCTCCACACCAAGCCTCTCCTAGAAGCCCAAGGCAGCAGCGCCACGCACAGCCTCAGCACAGACACTTGGCTACCCTGGAGCTGCTGTCTAGTGTCCAGATGCCACAATGCAGAGCCACTGGGCTCCCCGCTATGCTCCTGGCCCCTGCATAGCCACAGCTCCTCACACCCCATTGCCCTCCACCAAGCCTCAGAGTCCCTGGCCCCTCCCACCGCTGCCTCCTCAAAGTCCTGCGCACGCTGCCTGTCCCCTCCCTGTGCTCTCTCATCCCCCAAGCAAGGGCCATGTCCTCCCGGCCTCAGCAGCCTGCTAGGCAGGGAAGCAGTGCTGGGAAATAGCTGTCAGGTACCCTGGGCATAGCTCTGTGAGGTTACCCCAAACAAGGGGTGTTACTGTGAGGGAGTGAGAAGACTTACTACCCC